ACATATGCTCGAGTTCTGCGACGACTTTGATTTTATATAGGTGAGCCGGGTAGCAAGCATGTCCGAATTTCATGCTAGTTATTGTGGTTATGTCTCTACGTGAATATTTAAATGACTCATGCCAAAAATTACTTCTGATTTCAGGTTCCAGTAGAGTGTATCTTGTTGGCATCCGTGTGCAGAAATCATGATACTGAGACTTCCATTTTTGCATGAAAAAATTCCTTGTGGTGCTCAATCTATGATGCCAAGTTGGTTGACAGATAATTTCTTCTCCTTGTGAAACACTTTCTTTAGCTAGTTGATCTGCTCGTTCGTTAAAAGTTGTGCCCGTATGGGCCTTAACCCACACCAACACTATCTTCTTGTCTGAATTATATTGTTGGAACTTGGATATTTCTTGATTAATCCTTATTATATATGAGTGGTAATAGTTAGAATTAACATCTGTTGGAGACTTAAAGCAAGACAAGACGGATAGAGAGTCAGAAAATATAATACATTTGCAAATACCGGATTGTCTCACAAATTCTATGGATTTTAATATAGCGAATGCTTCCGCTGTAAATATAGATGTTTGTCTACTGAACTTGAACTTCTTCTCGGTCCGATGGGGTATTACCCAGGCAGGTCCAGTGCCCTCAGCAGTTTTAATGAAGGTAGGTAAGTTACAAAATTAATCATAGCATTATTCATATTATATACTTATCGCATTTTTCCAGATGTGACTCATTCTCACAGATTTTATGAGAAGTTAGTTCTTCCATGGATAAGAAACACTGTTTGACAGGTGCAATTTTTGCATTGTCGGGGTGAGATATGCTTTTTCACAAATCATTGTGGGACTCTGGATTGTGTAGGGTGTCATGGTACAAGTATGTATAATCTGTGTTTGTGAAGATCATAATTACTATTTTTGACCATCGTTATTTCAGGGTGCTCAAAATGCCATGGTCATGTAGGATTGGCAAACATGAAGTAGTACAGAGAGTAAACAGATAATTACATTCGCTGCATGAAGTAAAATCAGAAAAACCTTATGATATAAAATTCCATAATTACAAATGGGAGAAAATTGTGGCTCATCTTTCCTGTTGAACAAATTTCAAACACTTCAAACAAGTAGATAAGTGGAAACGACCCATTATATTGAATGATGGTGGGTACCTAGGTTAAGTTCTAATAAGTAGTTTTAAGATGATTGCATTGAATTCATAATTCGCTTATCATTACATCACAACCTTATCATGAACTTAACCAGTAAGACTCATTGTAGGCAAAACTGAACTTAACTTAACCTGGCTCTGAGGTACCGAGATTTGTATTTAAACTGCTGAGTATAAATTTTGGATTCAAATTGCTATCAGTAATGGAGACTCCACCTAGTGAGTGTACTAAAAAATACATCAGTGGCATCATCAGTAACAGGGAGATCGATGCATTGAGCCTCAAACAACACAATGTTGTATTTATCAAATGTGTTGTACCACGTACTAATGTTGTAGAATATGGAAAAAAGTGAGGAAACTTGAATATATTGTCTTTCTCTTTTATTAAATTTTCAGTTACTTCTAAGCAAAAATTACTTAAGTTTTTTTCAATCTGATGCACGGTTTTCATGAAAACGATCTTAACATTGTTAACATGACAGTATCACCATGCAGAGAATTTTCTTTATTTTTGGGTTGAAATCGTGGGTCGGACATAAAAAAATGAATTCTTGAATTCTTTCATTCTCACACACGATTATCACGTGAAAAATACAATCTATTTCTCAAGATAGTGACATTGTCATACTAACGATATTAGAATCACGTAAAGAGAGGTTATTTAATTGTTTTAAGCAAATACTGTGCATCGGAGTGGAAAAAATAAAGTGATCAAACTTATTTACAAATAACTGAGGATTTCAAGAGAAGTTTTTATTTTAATAGAAATCAGTTGCGTGCTATCATTGTCTGCCAAAATAGGCATGTGTAATCGGTACGAACGTCACTGTTGGAAATTAAAAGAAAATTCGTACATTAAAAATTCCTCTTAGGTAGTACATATATGCCGAATTTTAATAAAGTATTTAAAGTCGTATTACAGATCTTAACCAAAAATTATTGATCTTTGCAAAGTATACCACCCGGTTTCTGAAAAGTCAAGACGCTTAGGACATACGATTATATGAATTTTCTTCTTAAAATGGAACTGAAAGTAAATATTGACATTCATGGAAAACACCCTATATATTTTATGTAAATAAATCTAAAATTATTAAAGGTTATTGTAATACATTATTGTAGTTTTTCATTTTGGAAATGTACTTGTTCATATTTCCTGTTGTTAATTGTACCTTTTAGATATAAAGACTTCATTTGATTACTGATACCTACGTGTTTCGACATACTATTTAGGAATTCCTTAACAATTTCATATATTATATTTTTCAGTTGATAAGGCTTTGCAGAATATGAATGAAAGAATTCTTGGTAAAATAGATATTTTTTATTCTCCATTGTATACCCACCGAAGTACACACAAATTTCATCTATTTTTAATCCCTCATTTCTCTTAAAACAAATGTTTTTTCTCTAGCATGATGGTAAAGCTAGATTAAATGCCATTTTCTAAATTACAAGCTATTTAAACAAGGATAAAAGCATATCTAATCAATTACAAACAAAAGTTTCTAGTTAGGGGTACATTAGATCATCTTTGGAAAGTCAATGTAAATTAATTGTAGGTACCAAACTTTTTGAAATATCAAATTTAAATATATTGTCTCTTCTTTTTCCGCTAATAATGTTCCTTACGCCGGGGTTATTCGGTCCTGGAACAGTATGTTGTGCCCTGGGCTCGTCAGGATCGGATGTATTGAGCAATGCAAGTTGATTTGAAAAAATAAAATTAAAAGAAATGGTGATTTCTCACGTTTTACTTCTAAGTACCAATATAACCATGACTGTTAAAATATGTTTTTCATATAGGCGTTTTACTAGATCACTGGAATTTTATTTTTGTGATTGTCATCATTCGCCACTGTGCTGTAGTATTCAATCTCAAACCCATGGCATCGGCTTTGTGAGATTTTGCCAAATAGAAATGAAATGTGGATTACAATACTCAAGAGGTCACTTTTATCCACTTGAATGATTATACAGGCTTATGCCTACCTTCAATTTACAAATTGTACTGTAACACATGTTAGTCACAAAAAGCAAATTCGCGTTTTGTTTCTGTAGGGTTGGCTCCTTCAAATATGCTTTCAAGTGCCTGGATGCATAAATCCATTCTTCTCTGTAAAAAAATGCATCAATTCAAGAAAAAATTAAAATTTTACACATTTGTGTAGGCTGCAACCTTATAGTAATAATAATTTAGATATAATAATAATAATAATAATTAGAGTTCTAGTCTCAAATCTTTAGGTTAAGGTTCCCACTAACATAAAAAAAATATCAGATAGGGCAGGGTACGTTTAGACTCAATTTAAGAGCATTTACACATTATACATACTTGTAGCTTGACACTGTACACAATCCAAAGTCAAACACTGATTTGTGGACAGGCTTTTCCGACATCAAGGATGCAGTTGCATTTGGGATACAGTGTTCCTCATCCAACATCTCGTGAAGTCTGTGAGAATGAACCACATCTGAAAAATGCGATAAGTATATAAATATAAATATGAAATGATTAATTTTGTAACATACCTACCTCCATCAAGGAACAGAATGGTTATACGCTGTTAGGGTACAAATACACACCGATTTGCTTTGAATTGTTCATTTTAGATCATTAGTACCAGATATGGTATTTGAAGATAGTAGAATGTGTGTGTGTGACAGCTTGTTCTGAAACTACTTTTGATTACGCTGTGAGTATCTATATTAAAATCACTTTCATTCAAAAGTTGTGCGTTTTGTGCGCTTGTAAATCAACAACCAATCACAATTCTTCTATTGGAAATGTGAATCCGAACACATAGTGCATACAGTCAACAGCAGTGCGGAAGCGATTGCTAGTCTATCGGGGGACCACGCCTCACATATCGATATGCGACTGTTTTAGATATTTCTAAGTTTTAAGGGTGAATGTACCGGGACATATACCAACGTCATAAAATTGAAAGATGCCCTCCTTCACCTCCTGTAATCCCAATCGTCCATTTTTTAAGCCCTACAAAATTTTTGTGAAAGTGATTCATCAGGATCCTCTGCCGTCAAAAAACGAGGTTTAAGCTATTTGTTTTTCCGTTTTTGGCCCTTTTCTCCGCCGCTACTGAACAGATTTTCAGAAGCTTTTTTGTCTTTGGCATAGTGACGATATCTGGTAAAGATTTCATCAAAATCCGAGCGGTACTTCTCAAGTTACAGACGGTTATAGGATCAACGGACAGACAGACAGACGACAGAGGGTGGAACGCGGAACATGGCTTTTTGTGAAGAAGATTGATGATTCGTTGAGTTATTATACTTAAGCCGCCATCTTCAAATTTTTATGCCAAAATGAGTTCATGCGTCAGTTTCATCGTCCCGAATTTCAGCTTGCCAACTCGAGTTGCTCAAAAAGTTACATAATATATTTCCCCATACAAAGCGAGGAAAAAGAGGCATATTAAATGGCATTGGGTCGATATTCAAATCGATAACTGTAAACCTTAACGCCAATGATGGCGAACGTTTCGAAAATCTAATTCGAGAGCTTCAAAATAATCAAAGAGAATTGACTAACAGTGTCACACATAATAATGCCCTGTCTGTGTCTCTTATTGATAAGTTCAATAAAACTGTTCAGCAAGTCTGTCATAATGAACAATTGCTGAATAATAAAACTAATACCATATATGCAATTTTTCATCGTACTGGAATCGATTCAGATCAGCGTAAATTCATAGTAGACACAGTATCTCAAATTATGAACAGCTACGAAATAACTCTGTCAATATTGCAAGATGTTGAAAATTCAATAATTTTTGCACGTCTTGGATCAATTCACTCTAGCATTATTACAATCGAGGACATTTTTGGGGAACTGAAACTATTGAGCTCAAGATTAGGCCAAGAAAAATTTGCGATTCCAGTTTTACTAGATAACATACCAACTTTTGAAAAAATAATCAAAATCTCCAGTTATTCTGTGGGCAACAAAATTACATTCGTTTTATCACTCCCAATCTCATACTCTGAGGCATTTAATTTATATCGTCTCTTTCCAATCCCGATATATTTTGAAGGTCAATTTAAGACTATCATCCCAAAAGAGCCTTATTTGGAAAAAAATGAATTGCACTTTGCACTTTTTGGCGACATTTGTACTGAAATTACTCCTAAAAACTTGAACTATTCAATGGAAGAAACGCCACTGCATGTGCCCAAACTCCACTGATAATCAATCAGCCAAGTATCGAACGAATCAAACGGACTAATCAATGGGTATTGATCCTGCCACTACCAGAAGTTATCAAAATGGAATGCCATGAAGAAGTGCAAATGAAAACATTGACGTCAACTATCAAGCCGAAATCAATCATCAAATCATCAAAAATGAACTCGAAACGATTGTCGCGGGTCAACCTATAATATTACCGGATTTAAACCTGGACACCAAAGGCGACATCACAGAAACAAATTTCAGTCTGCATCTAGAAAAAATTAAGCTGGACGAGTTAAGTAGAATCAAGACAAGCATTATCAACAACAAACCCAACTTCAAGAAACCTGCAGACTTTTTTATACCCAGTGCCTGGACAATGATAATATATGGATGTATGAGTGTCTACGCATTCTGGAAAACCATCTTGAAGAGGAGGAAGCTCAGAAATAGAAGTATTCAGCAACCAGAAGTCGAACTTCATCCAATTCAACTTCCCTGAAGAATTCTTCCCCGAAGTTGAATCTCAGGGGGGAGTTATATCAGCCGTTCCTGCTGATATTCCAGGAATACTGCCGACGATGCTACTAATTTCCTAGAAGGCCTACAGTTTACTTTATTGTTCTCAACACATTTTACAGTCAGTCAGATTTAAGCCTTTCTACTGCTAACGTGATAATAACATTGTAATAATTTTGTAAAACTACATTTTTGAGTTTTTATATTTTCGAAAATAAACTTTTTAAACAGCGATCTCGAGGCATCGATATTATAACTCATGCGACTTTCTCCTCTTATATGGCGGCCGTTGGCTCCGACATCAGAGTTTTATAGCTGATTGTTATCTAAGCCGCGTAAATATTTTGTTTTAATTATACTCTAAGGAATCACATAAGGCACATGTCAAGGCGCCAGTATGGGATACCAAAGGGTACAAGCCGATAGGGGCAATCGGCTTGGACGACTTATACGAGGTCGTTAACTGATAGCTATTAGAAATCTGGCACGATAGTGGTCTGAATTTGAGGCCCTCTAGATTTAAATAAGACAGTTTTGAATTTTACTAGGCAGATGAATGAAGAGATCTGAATATTTATATATAGATGTTGATAGCATGGGGGATTGGACAGAGTCTTTAAGACCGTAAGAAGCAATAAATGAGTGTCATAACTGGTTCTTCATTCTGCTTACTAAATATCATCAACATCTGTGCAGTCCAATGAATTTGGTTCTCATGGAATATGTAAAACATATTGGTTTTTAAAAAGGTCCTTCCACCATGTAATTATTTTTTGAACTGGCCAGGTTAGCCAGCTAAAGCTTAAAGTAGTGAAGTTGATGTATGGATACTATATTTTAACATATAAATAACGGTTGAGTTGGCTAGGCGCTATCCTGTTAATTCTTTAAGTGTAGTGAAAATAAACAAGGATGATAAAGTTTGTTCAATATGTCCACAATCTTCGTTCCTTGCACATAACAATACAATAACTAGCTAACTTTCTCTAAGATGTCATTATTATGTATTTGCATTTTGAATGCTGTCCTACAGCTGATTAGCGTTTATCTGTATCTCCTATACCTTTGCTTTTAATGCTCCCCGTATAAAAAATATTAAGATTCGGGGAAGGAGCTGGCCATTGAATGGGAGCTTCTTGACCTCTACCAATCCATCTACCATCAAATTTCATTTCAAAGTGTGGTAATAGTAGCTAACATTGTTACACGAACTAGAGAATAGTAGTCGTACTCCTATTGACAGTTCGAATATTCTTCACTGCAATAATTATTACCGCGACAACCTTACTAATGACTGAGTGGCAAAAAAAGTATTGCTTCTTAACCCTTTACGGCCTACTGTTCTTCTGGGACGACCATTAAATCATAGTCAATTGTCTTGGCTCGTAGTAATATTCAGATGTTACCACCATATTTACTGGTTACCTATAACTAAGCTTCTGCCAGCTATGCGATGGTAGATATCAAAATAGCTCAGCTGGTGGGATCAGAAGTAATAGTTACACGCATCTTATGGAAACATCCAAAATGCGATGCGAGACTTTGTAGCCAATGTTGCTTTGCTCCGTTAAAGAGTAGAACGTTTTAGTTGCTCATATATTTGAATCTAGAAGGGTATCATAATTCACTTTTATCTCGGTGTAATGTCAATATAGCTCAAAAAAATAATAATAATCTCTGCCATATATTAGTAATAGCGAGTTTCATGGTAAAAGACTACCCTCAAGGCTTATAATCATAAGTATACAGTATGTTACAATGAGTATTACACAGCTGGAAATTATAGGGAGTGTAAATAGGAGGACCTGACTCATGTGATTTAACAGATAGGGAGTCAAGTTACAGGTCGAGATTTATCACCAGTGGCTTGATGATGCTTGACAAGGTAGAATGGATGATACAGAAATTAAAAGATAAATATGTTCGCAAGGTCATGGATAATAGTTGCTAAGTCATTTTAATATTTTGTTTCAATTGAAGTCTACGGTATCCACACAAATGAAGTCTGGTCCCTGTGGTTCAATGGAATGTTTTAAATCACGGCCTTACAAGTGGCTCACGCTCAACGCCCCCCAAAAGTCACCAAGGCATAGTTACAACACACGATTTCAAAGATGTGATACCGAAGGGCCCAACCAACCATGCCCAGATGGAGTTTGGACAATGTTTTGAGTCGCAAGCTAGTAGCTATATCAAATCGGGTGCTTCTGCCAGTAAACTGCATCTTGCGCACTCTATCTTGGCATAAGCTAGTTACTCTAGAGAACCCTAACAAATAAAAAGTTCCACGTAAAGGGTGGCGCGAAATTAACGATATATAATAATAATAATAATATTTATTTACTCTAAAATACAGGGAACATGAAACGAGTAAATAAATATAATATATCCATAGGAGGACAACGCCTGTGCATGGATCATATGTATGTTGAATTGCAAAATATAATAAAATAGAGAGAAAAAAGAAATTATTGGTAAGAATGGTAGAGCATTTATTGTGTAATATTTGAGATTATTTTATTAATTTGATTTCTCCCAATCGTGTTAATAAATTTTTTTAATTTTTTTTTGAAGCCTAATGTATTGCGTAATTGTTTTAAATTATTTGGTAAATGTTCGTACAATTTTGGAGCTATATACAGGTGACATCATTTCATTAGGGATTTGTTTGGTTTAGGAACATTTTTTGCGCGTAATTTATATCTGGTTTTATGATTATGTTTAATTATGTCGTGATTACTAATAGTTTTGTGATAATGAGTGATGGTATGTAAGAAGTAAAGTTGTTTAGTATCATATACTTGTGCATCATTATATAAGTCATTAGTTGGGTATAATTTTGATTTGCCTAACATAGATTTTAAAATTCTTCTTTGAAGTACATCTAAATCGTTAAAGTATGTCGTGCATGCAGCACCCCACACTACTATACCATATGTTATGTGTGGCTCGACTAAAGCTTGATATATTATTCGCAGATAATATTCAGTTAATATACCGGTTAGATATTTTATTTTATATGCTATGAATCTAATTTTCTTTAGTATGTGAGAAATATGTACATCCCATCTTAAGTGGGGATCTAGATAAATTCCTAAATATTTTGTATCATTAACTCTATTGATTTTTATATTTTTATCATTTACCTTAAACTGAAGGTGGTTATATTTTGGTAGATGATTAGATAGTGATGAAAATGGTAAAAAATGAGTTTTAGTAAAGTTAATTGTTAATTTTCGGTTATTAAACCACTGAATAATTTTGCAAAAGTCATTTTGGATAATATCTTTTAAGTCGTTCCAATCCTTACCTTTATAGAGTATAGCAATATCGTCTGCAAAACTGACTATTTTACCAGTACTGTTAATTTTGAATATATCGTTTAAATAAATATTGAATAACAGAGGACCCAAAATTGTACCTTGTGGAACACCACATTAAACAAACATTTCTTTACTATACGAGCTTAATAATTTTACTGATTGCGGTCTATTTGACAAATAATTTTCCATTAAAGTATACATCTTTCCACGAAAACCTATTCTTTCTAAGATTTCCAAAAGTATATTGTGGTTAACTGTGTCAAACGCTTTTTGTAAGTCCACAAATACGCATATCGATGGTACTTTTCCATCTATATTTTGGGTTATTTCATCTACTATACTTAATACCCCATCTGTTGTAGATTTTCCCGCTATAAAACCATATTGATTTGAATTTATAATTTTGAATTTATTAAGAAAATTAATCATTTTATTAAGGAGTAATTTCTCAAAAACTTTAGTTAAACTTGATATAAGTGAAATAGGTCGATAGTTAGTGACGTCCGTATTATCATTAGATTTATAGATAGGTATGATGATTGCTGTCTTGAAAGCTGATGGAAATACTCCAGATTGGAAGGAGTTGTTAATGATATAAGCAAGTGGTTCTGTTATTTGTTTGGCCAGTATCTTTAGATGTTCAGCTCTAATTTCGTCAACTCCAGGGCTTTTTTTATTTTTTAGAGTCATAATGGCATTGAAAACATCCTGATAGTCTACTTCAGTTAATACAAATAAATTATTCAGTCTTGTTTCATGCAGATGAATATCAGCATTTTGTTTGATATTATTTGCTAGGTTTCCTCCTATATTCGTGAAAAATTCTATGAACTCATCACATATTTGTTGAATATTGTCTGTTTTCTGTCCTGTTTTTGTTTTTATTTCATTAATATTGTTTTTTGAATAGGATGACTTATTGAATATATCATTGACAGTGGACCATAGGTGTCTAGAGTCATGTGAA